ACAAGGGAGGAGTCCTAAATGTGACGGTTGTGAAGTTATTATATGTGTAGGGCCCTTTTCACAGGATGTTCGCTCGTCCAAGAAGAGGTCAATGGGATGGGAGTCCAACGCGTCCTGCGTAAGATTAACCGTGGTGCCGCCGTGTTACCCTGTTTACCACTACCGCATCAAGCATGCCTGTGTCTACCCGTTTCAAAGGTACGAAAGCAAACATCAAAGCGAGCGCCGTTAAGTCTCACACATCCTTCCCAATAAACTTTTCAAGTAACGAATGCATAACAATACAATATAGCATCGAACAAAGACCGAATAAAGTGCCTTATCAATTGTCTATCCAGGTATCACACCAATGAATTGGTCTTTATAGGCTCTCTTAAACATGAACTATCAAACGATGTTATTGATAAATCAGAAAACGTTGCAACCACTTATGTAAAGATTTTAGGTTTGGGAAGACATTCAAAACCAAGTCATAGGAACTCACTTGTGTCGAACGGGCAGGTATTGGAATGACATTGCTGGATTTGCTTGAAGGCGTGGGGCTGATTGAGAGCCGTGTTAAGTGGCCAGTAGTAACCACCTACGGAGACAGGATGGAGACTGTTAGGAGAGAAGGGGGGTGGAGGTGGCGGGGGGGGTAGTTGCTGCGGTGAAGGATCCACGGGTGGTTGACCTGATGGCTGAGGTATTGTGGCAAGGTTAGATGAAACGTATCGCATCTCTTCCGTCTCCTCTCCCACTTTTGCCACGTTTGACCTCCCAACTGTTCCCGTTGTTTGGGTTCCTAAGCTCTCACTATGCAGCACCATACCCACGTCAAATTGCCAGCAACTTTGAATTGACAGCTAAAACGCATTCGAACACAGAAAGATTTATCACCGAAACACGTGTTCTGTGTTAAAGAAAGCTAATAATTGTAAACAGACAAAGGGCAGAATAAACAATTACATTCTTCGCCACCCTTGTACAAGGTCTACAAAATGACTGTGATTACATTTGAATGACACTTTTCCTTCTTGTGGTATTACACCCAAGCAGAATTCTGAATGTGGGACAAACAGGTCACGGAGGCAGTGGTTGAAGGAAAGTGATCATGTAACTCACGCACACAAACGTATGCTGTGACGTGTGTGGATACACGTATGTGCATTAACTCACCAGCGCATATTGCGGTGGTGTTTATCACTGATGTACAAACACGCGAACGCCTAGGTACAGGAGTCGCGTGCCAGTCAGTCGGTCAGTCTTAGTGTCGTAGGGTCAGGCCATTCCAATCATCCGCCCGCCTCTGAAACCAGCACGCGTGTATCTGTGTACGTGTATGTGTTTATTGGCTTGAGAAGACGCATCTTAACTTCAAAGTACTTCAACTTCAGTTTAAGAAGAGAGATGGGCTGTCGAATGAGTGGTTAAATAAACGTGCGAAGTACAACGACACTGAAGGTGCAGATATCACGCATAAGGCACGCCTGACACACCTTTGAGGAACGCTTTTCCTTCAAATTAAAATAACTCTTCCACGACCATAAATGCAAAGAGAAAAAGTGACGAGGACAGTTCTGCCTTCAAAGTCCAACTATCAAAATAAGCATCTCTAGACGCGGAGTCCATCATTTCACCAAAAAAGGAGGCTATCTCAAACGGTAGAAGTCAAGTTGAGCAAAGGATCTTGTGAAGCTTTGCTAAAGTACCTGCGACTTATCTGCCCTGTCGGAAGTGAAAAGGAGGGGCCAGAATCGCATCAAACTCATTACTGCCAGAACCCTACAAGTGTGAAGTGTGCGTTTTACAGACGTTTGATAAAAACCCTTGGTGGGAAGCATTAATGTAAACACATTGTTAATTTTACTTAAAAATCCCATATACGCGTGGAAAACGACAAAGTGCCTACCAAAGATGGGTGGATCAGTGTCTTCATGTTTTAATGGTCGTACAAAAATCAAATGACATTTCGGGTGGAAAGAATAGCCACTGCATAGAGCTGACATTAGTAAATCTATGGAAATAATCAACTTCAAATATCATTCGTAATTTTTCATGTTCATTTAATTCTGATGCAGCCTCTAGCTGACGTGACCTCAACAAAGAGTCAAATGTATAATTTTGCATAATATGGAAAAGATGTATTGTTAAGAATATCGACCGTACAAAATATTTGTTCTTCACAAAAGAATTTTCTAAGTCATAATCGAATGCAAAACTGTGCATATAAATATAAACAAAATGTGGACTTACGGACATGTTAGAACTAAAGGCGGTGGGTAACTTGTCTGGGCGTAGTCGCAAAAATTGATGGTGTGAGAGCTGTTATATGCTAGGATCGGGCGCCAGCACAGCGGTTTTAACCCCCCCTACGTGAGCCAAGCACATTTCAACCAATCGGATCTCGATGCGCAAGCCTTTTCAATCCAATGGGCTGAGGCTACGTTGCCCCAACGAATCAGTAAATGCGCGGAGATAGCCTGTTTTGCAACAATTTTGCTTGCGAAATTCGGCAGTTTGGAAGTCCCTTCTCCATCGTCAATCCAATTAGCACAAAGTCCTGTGGGTTGTTAGATTTCGAGTGCATCATTTACAAATTCGATGTCACTTGGTAAGTTAATCAGTTGTATTGACAAGGTCTCTCAAATCTAATACAATATCCTGAGTTTATGCATGACAGTAAGGAAACAATCGCCAAAGACGTAAAATATGTTGATTGAAAAGGGCTACATTCTACATCTAAAACGGCAAAAGACAAATGCAATTAAAGTTAAACAATTTAAGTAGTCTAAATAATCTAATTGCTACCGGGAGCCTAATTTTGGTATGATTTTATGCATTGGGATTTTGAAGTGTAGCGGTTTCTCAGAATTTTTCACAGGCAATAATTCGACTTTGAAAGCTTCTATCCCTTCAAAATGCTTCAGCACTTTTGCACCTTTCAGAAAAGCGAATTGAATTTCTCAATTTTCACATATGACGCATGCAACATTTAAGTCTTCAACGAATCGATCGGTACGGTAGTGAAACGTCCAAAGTCGAGGTCTTCAACAGTGAACTTACAACTAGGCAGGCGTCTTTGAAGAGCCCGTGCTGTTCGAAAGTCTTTCTACCAAATGACGAACAATCGCAATATGCCGCAGTGTTTAAGGCCCCTTGTAGACATTCGGGGTCCAATTTGTACGCTTTCGTTTACACTAAACCTAATCATCATCTGCTCTCGCATGCCTACATCACTTTTGGTGTCTAGCGGCTTGGGTATCGTTGTCTGGACCAGCTCAGGCTCAGGGTGTTGACCGTGAGAATTTGGACACATTTGCCAGTTACTATTTCAGCGATACCACAAAGAAGTTCCGTATTTTATACAGCTAATAATAAGGATGTTGATTGAGATGATTTGACTTTCAAAAAACCAAAATGAATTTCATAAAATATCATATCATCCATTTGCTAAACTTCTTTGACGTAGTTGAAGGCATCGCAAAACAAAACAAAACAAAGGGACGGGACCACCTGTTAAAACAGATGCAAAATTTTCATAATTATGGGTTTTAAGAACAACAGACCGGATGCCGAAATCAACTACCACCTTCCAATCAGGGGAGAGAAAAGGGGTGAGGGGAAGGCGAAGGAGGGGCCAGAGGGGGACTTCATGATGAAGTCAGCAGCAACGCCCTCTCAACACACGCACGTGAGTTGACTCAGTGCTGCTTGTGGTTAAACTTAAAGGCCAAAATCACTCCCGACATTTCGGAAGATAAATCAAAGTACTTTATTCAACCGACAGTGAAGTTGGGAGACATAAATCTCTTCAAGTCACAATTTATTTTCATTGCAGGTAAATTGATCATCCTCATTACTGGATTGTACTCAAGAGCTTCAAGCGTCAACGTTGTTCCGATAAGGATGTGGCGAATGGACATAATAAGAATCATAGCATTAAAGAGGAGTAACTTTGGTGTCCATAGGTGCGTTAGCTCTGTTTCAGAAGGTGGCTTGCCAGTAATCACACTATAAATTATACTATAAAAAATTAAGTAAACAGTAAGGATAGACTGCATATAAGTTGGAAGAAATTCACAACACGCGCAAGCATTGAGACGGAAATTAAATTGACAGGGAGGACTTAATTTTCCAATGCAATATTTTGAAGGGTCTCGTGATTTCCTTGACTTTGAAAGAAGACAAAACGCGTAAGTGTAATAGGTGCAGGGGTCAGGATTATTTGAAGATCCTGAAGGCCGGTTTACCCGGCATTTGAGTGGTCTTTTAGACCAAATAGCCCTATTCTCATCTCTTCTCTAGATCTCTCGTCAAAATTAACTCACACTTATGCTCTCTATTGGTGTTCTTCATCCATGAGAGGATTATCAGACTGTATTGCCATTACCACTGCATCTCAGTTCCTTCACTGAGATTGAATTTGAGTCCAATTTAAGAATGCGCTGGCTACCATGTGTGCTGGCAAGAATGCTGCCTTAAGAGGGGAATCGGTCGTAGAAGGCAGGGTGTCGTAGCCACTTATGCTACCATTTCTCTTTGAGCTTCAGTTTTTGCTAGCGTAATTGCTCAATCAGCACTGATCCAAAGCCTTTGGACAAACTCTTAACCAACTAATCTTAGTGGTTCAGCTCTTTTGTCGCTTCCTCCATAGAATGCTAGACCGATAGGGCTGTCGGAGATAGAAGCAGTTTTTCATTCCAAATCTTTCCTTATCCGGCAGTACATGGAATGTTTTTACTAAAATAAAGTTTTCAACAACACCTTGTGGAACAGATTTATTTTATACAGCCATTGCTGCAGTGTCCTATGACTTTTATTGAAGGCAAAATAGGGTAATGCGCGGACAGAATACAGGCCATTTGCAGAGAGCAGGAGGCAAGACTACCGTCATATCGTTGGGAAGGCGCTCAACTCCTAAACGACTTGCCAATTTTCATAGGGTCTAGAGTTTTCTCCTAAGGAAAGAATGCCTTGTGGATGAAATAACGACTCGGAAATCACGTTTGTCCTTATTTAGTCAATAAAAAATCTCACGTTGCGTAACATAATA